TTTGATAAATAATACATCAAGCTTATCCTTCGATCCCATTCTATGCACCTCCTTCTACTTCAGCTTACCACCCAAACCATGTATATTAAATGTTATTATCTTCATTAGGATGATGTATCAGTCCGAACCACACCTACCTTCTTCTTAGGGGTTGAGATGCACCCCTGTTTCACTCCTTGCCTCCAATTCCTAAAGTCTGGCCCCAATCTCCTCTTCCCTTCCTTCAAACAACAATCCTAGCTTCCTTCAAATTCGCGACACCTTCGGCGAACTGATCTCTCGTCTGATCAATCATCAGTTTCGATGCTTGATTCTGCGGTCTGACAACAAAATCCTTGTGAATGAAATACCTCCTAACCGCCTTGGTTGTTTAACCATTCTTCCTCTGTTCCTTATTCCCATGTAACCAATCTCAATATGTCACTGATAAAATTAAGACCGTTGATTGCCTTGTCTTTCTTTCTTGTGGGTTTGGTTTTTCTTCTTATTTAACATAATTGGGTCTGGGCACTCCTTCTATTGGTTAAGAGTCAACTTAAAGATTTTAAGTACAAGTTTAAATATTAAGTCCGATAAAATATTTGGGAATAAGACAAAGGTATTTTATTTTATACTAATAAATAATAATCGAATGTACTCAAAAAAAAAAAAAAAAAACATAATTTACCCTCTTTGCGGGCTATGGATTCTTCGTTCTGTACATTCTTATTGGCTTTAATTTGTTTCTAGGCCGCCGCATCCTTGGGTAGGTCTAGGACCCGCCCCCCATCGCATTATTTCTATTATTAATTTCCTCTGCCAATTCAAATTCCCCTTGTTATTAATTCCAGTTTCAACGCCACCATAGGCTTCTGCATACGAACGCACACCCCGATTGATATCAGTTCCCAGCCGCCCACCAACTTGCCATTCAACATCCACTACCCCCCTTTCAATTTCTTGTTCATCAGACTCTTCGCCTTCCTCATCAGAAAATTGACCTGGTAACTTGGTTCATCATCCGTCTACGCTTCACTTGTGGAAGAGTATATCTGGTTGGCCACTACAAGCCACCATCGATCAGTTCTCCATCTTTCTTCTATAAAACTTAATTTCAAATGAAATACATAGCTCTTAACATTAAGAAAGAATTTAATGGTAATCTAATTCATAGATTTAGTTGAGATTAACAGCCTTGCTGGATGGAGACAATCCTTTTGAGCTGTAGATTCATTAATTGACACAAACTTTCCCAAGTGATTTCCAATTAGTTCAAAATAGTTCCGCATCGATGCAAGCAATAGGAGGCCTGTAATGCGTACCCATACTAATCTCTCAACAATATCAAACGGAGACCACATCCTTAGTCTCTTGAACCACTGACTCCACCACACTTCTTCATCAAAGAAACTCTTCATTGGTTCTCCCTCATATTATTACCCACAAGAGGAATGGTTACAAAATTCATCCCCTCCAGCCAAAAATTATCCTGCAATGATAAAATGTTTTCTATAAAGTAGACTTCGCCAACTACACTTCTCGCCAGCTAGGATTGGTCAACCCCATCATTCCCTAACTCCAGTACCAGGGGCGGAGCCATGTTTAGACCAGGGGGGGCGGTGGCCCCCCCTGGGATTTGAAAAAAAAATGTATATATATGTAAAATTAATTTATTAATTATTATTATTAAAATTTTAAATATTATATCTTTAATTAATAAAATACATAAAATAAAAAAAATCCAATAATAATGAGTTGTTTTAGGAGTTCAAATATAATCTATATAATCCATTATTTATTTTAATAATTTAATTATTTATTATTGTTTAAA